AGCCACCAGCCCTTTGCTCTGTTCCTTACCTTGAGTGCCTGTTGGCCTGGTGGCTGACAGTTGCAGGGCCCGCCCCACTGGTCCCCCACTCCTATGCCTGCTCCAGGCAGCAGCAGCCACAGGAAGTTTTTCAGGCAGTTCTGCACACAGAACAAGAGTCTATAAGTTCATACTCTTCACTGGGGCATTCAAGGCCCCTCTTGTCTGGCTCCTGCCAATCTCTGCTGGGGTCTGGGCCACCCAGAGCTCTGTACTCTTCTCCAAACATACCAGGATCCCTCCTGCCTCTAGGCCATGCGCGCTCCATATGACCAAGTCTGGAATGGGCTGTCTCATGATGCACCGTCTGACTCTCCCCAAGCTCAGGCACCTAGCCAGTCTGTCCTCTGAGGATACGCACCATCCTGTGGTCCCTTGTATTATGTTCACTGACCCCTTTGTTTGCAAGTCTGCCTCCCTGACTGGGCTTAGGTTCCCCAGAAGTGGAGCCTTGAAACAGAGATCTGGGTTCAGGAAATTTATTAAGGGCAAGGATGGCTCTCAAGAGAAAGCCATAGGGAAGGAGGGAGGCGGGAGACAAAAGGCACATGGGGGAATGAATGTCAGGTAAAGTCTAGGTAGAGCCTGACCCAAGGGCTCTGCAACATAAACCACACTGCTGACCTGTCCCCTAGGGTGAGGAAGGAGCCTTTGTGTTCCTGTATCACCCAGTCATTGGCTGTGGGGTGAGGGATCCATAACTTCACAGGGTTGGTGGCTATCATCAGCCAGGGGCGATTCACAGCACAAGGGGTAGATGTGAGCAGTAGCAGTTATCACATCCACAGTGAAGAGTGTACTGGCCAGGTCAAGGCGGACTGGGCTGTGTCCCCGCAGCCCCTGTTGAGGAAGACCTCTAACAGGTTTCTGAATGGATGAGAAGTATGTGGACTCCTGGCTCACCCAACTCTGGCATCCCCCAGCCTCACAGCTACATGTGCTGCCCTGGGAAAAGGTCCTGCCCACAGCCAGGGGAGTTGCCACTGTAGGGACCAGAAAGGAGCCTAGACATCCAGTCTCCAGAGAAGGGCTCTACACTGAACCCTGCCTGACTCATTGAACATCTGCTATGTGCCCAACCATTCGATGGGAGCATTAACCAAAGACCTCATCTATTCCTTATAATATCCATCTTACAGATAGAAAAACAGAGGCTCAGAGGAGGGACAGGACTCCAGGTAGGTCATGCAACTTGTAAGTGGAAGACTTGGGATTCAAACTGGCCTGAATGACTTCCTGCCTGGTTTCTTTCCCCCAAAGCAAGGAGGATCTGGTAGCTCAGCCATTCCTGCCCACTGTAAGAGGCCGGTGAGTCCAGGGTCATCTCTCTGCCCCCCAGCTGTGCTCAGCTAAACTCAGAATCCCCAAGGGTCACATCTGGCATTTGCAGTAGTTGGGAGGCCCACGCATACATTTTGCATATAAATTTGTATCATGGTTGCATCTGGTTTGCATATGTCCACACTGAGAACTCATCAGCACTGCACAATTTTTAAAATGCTTCGAAGCCACCCTCAGTGGAAGTCCATCAGAGCTTTACAGAGTCCAGTGTCTATGATTTCTTGGCTCTCTGGCTCTCGCCTTCAAACTGTGTCTCTACCCACTCCAGGTTCTGGACAAGCCACACCTTTGTCCAGGTGGAAGAGGGTACTGTAAACACCTGCCTTAGAAACTTATGCGGATTTGGTAGTCACCTTTTTTGATGATGCACTTGTCATAAAAATGTTGAGTGTGCTTTGAGCGTACTGGGGTTGGGCACAGTGCTGCTGCCTAGAACTGCCAAAGGTGGCCCCATGGGTAAGGAGGCCCAGGTGTGTACTCTTAGGAAAGGAGAGGATGGTGAACAGGGACCAGGGACTGGACAGTGTCTGGAGCCTGTACTGTAGGGCCAGTGGCACCACAGGTTGGCTTGGGGGGAGTAGGGGCTGAGTGTCTCTGAGCAGCAGAGGGCTCATCTGCCAGAAAGCTGGCATATTCCGTGCTTTCTATTTCTGTCTCTTTAGGAGACTACATTCCATAAAACTTTGTGACCTTCTGGGTGAATCCTGGATAAAAGAGGAGAGACAAAGCCTAGGTGAAGTGGAAGGAGCCTGCAGAGAGGATGGAACCTCGATTTTAAGAAGCACAGAGGCAGGGAAAGGGTATCCCAGACATATGGGATGCCCAGTGCCAGGGCTCCATGCTCATTTACCACCAGGCAAGCATCTTCCAAGGACCCATTCCCGAATTTTTTCTGCCCCAGGAGGCCCAGAGAGGAAGGTAGAAAGTTTCAGTGTCCAGCAGAGGTTTTCTTATGTCTCCCCACTGGGCAACTCTAAATGCAAGGCTTTATTCTTATGTCTGTGTCGGATAATTGTATCATCCTGCAGTTTTCCCAAGGAGAGAGGTAGCGCATCTGTCACAGGAGGCAGTGAAGACAGCGAAAGTATGTGTATGCAGGCGTGCACACGAGTGATCATGGAGTGGAGGGTGGGCCAAACTCTGTTCCTGTGTGTGGCCCCTTCGCCTGTCTCTGTCCAGGTGGAGAAGCTCCAGTCTAAGGCAGGGAGAACACGACTGTTTGCCTCCCGCCCCTGCCGCTGGCCTCCCTAGGTTTCCTGTCTGGCAGATGTGAAGTGGCCTCATCATCCATGGGGAGACCCCAGGCTCTGCCTGCATCCAGCCAAGACCCTAAGCATCTCTCTATGCTGACACCCTCCGCCTCCTCCCGGATGAGGCCCAGGCCCTGGCTCCTCAAACTGATCCAGTTAAAGAGGGAGCATGGTTTTGATGTCGGCCACCTGGAAAAGGAGGAGGCGGGCTCTAGCTGTCCTTCTAGGCCCCTGTTACGTGGACATTTCCCACTTGAAGCAGGGTCCAGCCTCCTTCCTGTGAGTTGTGGGCCCCACATCTGGGGCTGGGGAAGGGAGTGAAAGGAAAAGGGTGGGAGCCCTTGGGAAAGATCACAGTTTCTGGGGTGGGGGAGAGTTCTCCCAGAGCCAGCTGGGCGGTGCTGCCAAGCGGCCAGAAACCAGCCTCTGAAGAGCAGCTGAGCTCTATTCATTTCCCCCTCAGACATCTCTCACTTTCTGAAAACCAGGTTAGCGGTTACCAGATCGAGAACTTGTTGTGGATACTATGTATCTGCCCCCATCAAAATGACTCCTAACATCTCCATGAAAGGCTACAGAATGGAACATTCCAAGGGTGTATAGGTAGGGTACAAGACTGTTTTAAGCCTTCTTTACTTGCCTAATCCATTCAAACTAGCTCAATGGTAGGTTATTGGAAACAGACGGGGAAAGCCATGGCTTGTCACCAAATGACTATATATTTCAGCCTGAGTTCCACAGCACCCTGTATCAGCCCTCTTCTCCCCTGCCAACCCTCCTTCTCAGTTCCTCATAGCTCCTGCGGAGCCATGGCTTCAGCATGCCATGCTGTGTCCTCTTATCACCCCAAAGGCTCCAGTAGTGGATCGAACAGAGCCTCTCCCCCCCCCCAATTCATATCCACTGGGATCCCAGAATGTGACCTTACTTGAAAACAGGGTGCTTACCAATATAATTACCTAAGATAAAGTTATGTTGGGCCTTAAATTCAGAGACTGCTGTCCTTTGAAAAGGACATACAATCACAGAGGGGGAAAAAAAGTGAAGGTGGCCATGTGAAGACAAAATCAGAGTTTGGAGTGATACAGCTGCAAGCCAAAGCACTCCAAGGATTGCTGGGAGCCACCAGAAAACTGGAAGAGGTAAGAGGATTCTTCCCTAGAGTCTTTGGAGGGAATATGGCCCATGGACACCTTGCTTCTGATTTCTATCTTCCAGAATTGGGGGACAATAAGGTTCTGTTGTTTTAAGCCTCTGAATTTGTGATTGTTACTACAACCCTAGGAAATAAATGAAATCTACAGCTGGAAGCTGGATTCCCTTCAGCCTCTGTTCCATAATTCCAAAGCCCAGGAGAAAGGATAATCAGTCTGGCTTTGGTTAGGTATCTGTCCCCAGGGATGGATGACCCACAGGCTGGAAGAGGGGCAGGGCATGGATCTGGGCTTCAGAGCTGCCCCTTCCGGTATCCTCTGATACCATCACCTTACCCGGAAGCTGTTTGTTCACATCTCAGAGTTGGTTTTTGAAAGGTCTCTCCAGGCAGGCCCAGGAGTCCTGTGAATTCTATACGCCAGCCAGCCTCTTGTGTGAAGACACGTGGCTGTGGTCAGCTGTTTAGATGAGACCTAGACAGGAAGAGGTGCCACTCTGTTGAATGGCAGAACCAGGATACAAAAGGCACCTTGCAGATTAGAAAGTTAACAAGATGATGTTGCATAAGGATGACTACAAAGAACAACTCTTGGATTCTAAGAGCCGATTTCGAAAGCAAAGTATGAAGGAAACTGGCTTAACACAGCCGAGACCTGAAGGTTTTCTTTATCCACATGCTAGTAATAAACCAGAGCCAGAGCCCAGGAAGAGCAGCAGAGCACTCTTGTCTGAGCTGAGAGATGGTGGGCATTTGCATCCCATACAGAGACTGGAGACAACACTGATTCTATGAGAAAAGCAGAGGGGCGCTGTGTCCACTCAGCTGGGTCGCACAGGTCGTGGGGAGAGGAGCCTAAAGGGCTATCAGATCTCATCCGCAGCCCCCCCACCCCCATCACGATGAGTGAGGAGCCAGAGGCAGCCAGCCCACAGGGACAGACTGGGGTCAGTTCCAGGAAGATGACTGGGTGTGTGGTGCTGGTCCACCCCGAAACCCGATATTCTCGGCTCCAGAGCCCTGATCTCCGAGGACACACGGACTTTCAAGACCAGAGTATCTAGAGGGTGGGCTGCACCTTGAGAACCCCTTGCCCAGGCCAACCCAGGGGTCGGCATCTCTGCCTCTCCTCTGGTATCTGTGAGCAGGCGAGGTAGTAGCTGGTGGTGTTTGGGGGAGTTCCGAGAGCGCGCGGCGGCCTGCTTAACTCACGCTTACAGGCGGCCCCTCGGGCGCCCGCTCAGCGCCGGGCTAGGGGCTGGCGGTGGAGGCGGGGGCTGGCGGAGGAGAGCGGCGCGGCCCGAGTTTATGCTAATCAGCGCAGAGCCCGCCTCCCGCCTCCACTCTGCGGCCCCAGCCGCGGGCAGCGCCGGCCACTCGGAGGGACGAAGCCGCCGCGAAGGGCCAGGCGACTAAGTGAGCGAGCTCTGGGGTCCGCGAGTGGCTGTGGGGCCCCGTCCGGCGAGTGGAGGTGGCAGCGTGGCGGGCGGACACCCGCGGGGTCCGCCGCCCGGGGCCAGGTGGAGACGCGGTGGCCGCAATGGGTCGCCGCCGCCTGCCGGTCTGGCTGTGCGCCGTCGCGGCGCTGCTCTCGGGGGCGCAGGGTAAGGGCGCGCCGCTCCTCTCTCGGCCAGTGCAGCCCGGCGCCTCCCGCTACAGCCTCTACACGACGGGATGGCGCCCCCGGCTGCGCCCGGGGCCGCACAAGTAAGCGCGGGCCGTGCGGCGGGAAGCGGGAGGGATGGGGCTCTCCCACCTGCCCAGACCCTCGAGGGCCATGGAGGCCCCTGGCACCAGAGGCCGCGGCGTGGAGGGGCGGTGCCCGGACTGAGCCCGCGCGGGAGCAGGAGCACCGTGCTCCGGGGGCTGCGGGGCTGGCGAAGAGAACTAAACTGGGGGGCCCTGGCGCGGCGGCAGGGATCCTGGCAGTGCCCGCGGAAACCCTTCTGGAGAAGTAACATTTTCCAGCTGCCCCGAGTGCAAACTGTGGGCGCAGCGGACCAGGTGGAGGGAGCGGAGCGAGGGCTCCGCCGCGCCTCTGAGGCCTCGCGTCTCTCCTCTGCCCCTCTGGGTAGGAGGTGGAGCCGTGCACCCGGATCTCTTCTCCCCCTTCCCGAGGCGACCCCAGTCCTAGTAACTTCTAGGGAGGGAGCCCCGACGTGGCTGGGCCACAGAGCTGGTGGTGGCTCCGGATTCCAGGTCCAGTATTCTGGAAATGGCAGGGGGCCTCAGTGGTTAGCTCAGGCCCGAATTTGAGCTCTAACTGAATCTGAGCGGTATTGTAGGAGGGTGCCCAGGCATAGCCAACACGAAGTTTGCTGAGGTGCAGCAAAGCAGGCTTCCTGAAGGAGGCAGCGCAAGACCTGGTCTAAGTGAGAAAAAACTACATCTGGGGAGGAAAGAGGAGAAGCCTTGTCTCAAAAGAGCCACTAAACTGGAATCTCAGAACTTCACAGGCAAAGATAAGGCACTTGGAGGTAGAGGGCGGGAAGTGTGGCAGGCACTTGAGGGACAATCCAGGGAGGTCTCTTCCCCCCCAGTCAGGGAGGACAGGGTCCTAGTTTGGTATGACACTGAGCTCGGTGGCACCACTGAGGACACTGGGATCAGAATGTCAGCAGTAGAGCTGGGCCTGGCCCAGAATACTCTGGACTCCAGCCAAGGGCCCTGACTTCTAGGGACAAGGAGAACAGGCAAAAGAGATGGAGGTCTGGTTCCCTGTTGAAACCAACAGGTAGGGGAAAGAGGGTAGGGGCCTCACTGGGCCTGGCTCAGGCCAGATATTCCAGGGGACCACTTTCCCTTGTAGGGCCCTCTGTGCCTATGTTGTGCACAGGAATGTGACCTGCATTCTACAGGAGGGAGCAGAGAGCTACATAAAGGCTGAATTCCGGCAGTGTGGATGGGGGCCCAAGTGCCCTGGAACAGTCACGTGAGTGCACCCCCTCCCACCCACTTGGGATCCCCGTGCACAAGCCCCATTTCTGTCTTCACCTGGGAGGAGAGCCACCTCTGCTGCAGCTCCAGAACACCAGAGAGCTCCCCTGAGCCCCAGAGTGGGCCAGGGCCTTTTGAAGTTGTGCCAGGGCATCACTCAGAGGCAGAAGGAGCTTGGAAACCACAGAGGGATGAGGAGAATGTGGCAAGGGAAGAAGCAGGATCTGGCTAGGAGGAAGGGACAGGTGGCAAGGGGGTGGGGGGGGAGAACCAAGGGTCACTGAGGCAACGGTTGATGCCACAGGGGGCTGAGGCAGATCCAGGGAGGACTGTGGTGACCATGAGAAGGTGGCCTAAGGGTGAGGGGTGGAAGCCAGAGTACTGGGGATTAGGCAGACAGGCAGTCGGCATGGGAGGGACAGACATGATGTACAGGTTTGCACTTGGAGGGGTCTGAGTGTGCATCTGGAAACAGATCTGTTCTCCAGTGTGTCAGTGGGTGAACAGGTGAGGAGGGTCCCATCATGAGCTCTGCCTTTATCTTTAGGCCTTCCCCTCCCTGCTGAAAATCAGAGGTGCCCTCCCTCCAGCCTGTGACCAGAGTGGATTCCTAGAGTAGGCTGAAGGAGTGGCAGGAACTACAGAGGGCTAGTGGGAGTCAAGAGTGGCTCCAAGGCAATGGGAGGAACCACCAGCCTCAGCTCCAGGGCAATACTCCTTTGCATCCATAGGGGAGGGCTTGGAGCTTTGTTCTCCAAGACACCACTTGGAGCCCAAGTAGAATTTTTTGTGGCTACATGAACTAAAGAGGATCTGTATGGTCTGGGGAGGATTGGAGCTAAATTTGCTATCCTTCCCAAACAGGATGGATGGGGCTTCTACCTGAATCCTCCACTCAGAGCCCTTAGAGCCCCTGGAAAGCCCCCACCCCACACCTCTGCCACCTTCAGCCCCTAGAAAAAGGAAAACCCTTGGGGTTTTCCCCAAGGGAAAGAAACAAACTTCAGGCAGGCATCTGAGGGTGACCCCAAATGCCAGCTAGGGGACAGGACTCTCAGCCTGCAGGTATATGATCTTGCTCTCTCACTCTTGCTGGCACAGGTACCGCACAGTGCTCAGACCCAAATACAAGGTTGGCTACAGGACAGTGACAGACCTCACCTGGCGTTGCTGCCCAGGCCTCACTGGAGAACGCTGCCCTGAGCACCTCACGGATCATGGGGCCACCCCACCCCAGCTGAATCCTGAAGCCCAGGTTCCCTCAGGGCAGGCGGGCTCAGGTCCCAGGCCCCCTGCTTACAGCCAGGTGGCCCCGGGTCCCCATGGTGAGTCTGACTCGGGATACCTTCCCAGGTGCCCGGGTGTCTTGGGCTCGGTGACAGGGGCAGGGAGGAGACTGACCCAGGCTCCTGAGGTCTGGCAGGGTTGGGGAGGGCATGTCTCACCCTGAGTAGGCAAACGGGAAGTTGTGCCCGGTGAAAATGCAGGCTTAGAGCAGGAGGCCTCCCAGGGGGCCTGGGAGCACAATGCCCTGGAGAGCGGGGCTGGTGATGCTCCTGGAGTCTCTCATCTTTTCCAGGAAGAAAAGGCCTAGGGCTATTGGGTGAGCGCCTGGGACGCCTGGAGGGTGATGTCCAGCACCTGGCACAAGTATATAGCACCCTCAGTGGTCTGGTGGCTAGCCATGAGGACCCCAACAGGATAACTGGGGACTCCAGAGCTCCTGCTGCCCCTGTGGGTTTGGGGGTCTTCCCAGAAGGGCATGTGGATCCAGGAGACAGAGCAGGAGGACCACTCACAGCTCCCCTGGGTGAGATCCTGAGCAAGTTAACAGAAGTGAGCAACACGCTTCGCAGCAAGGTGCAGCTGCTAGACGAGGTGCATGGACTCGCCCTCAGCCACGAGGCCCACCTGCAGCAGCTTCGGGAAGCCCCGCCATCCCCGCTGACCTCTCTGGCACTGCTGGAGGAATATGTGGATCAACGGCTACAGCGACTCTGGGGGAGCCTGCTGGGTGGCTTTGAGCAGAAGCTGCAAGGCATCCAGAGCGAGTGTGACCTTCGGGTGCGGGAGGTGCGGCAACAGTGTGAGGAGGGCCAGGCAGCCAGCCAGCAGCTACACCAGAGCCTTGACGGCCGGGAGCTGGCCCTGCGCCGGGAGCTCTCACAGCTGGGCACTCAGCTGCAAGGCCTGAGTGTGGCTGGCGGGGCCAGTTGCTGCGGCCAGCTGGCCTTGATCAGTGCCCGTGTGGACAATCTTGGGAAGAACCTGCGGGCAGTTGTGGAGGCCCACAAGGGCCCTGGCACCTCAGCCAGGGATGAGCTTGAGCATCTGTCTGCTGCCATGATTGAGGGAGGTGTGGATGGGCTGCTTGAGGGCCTGGAGACCCTCAATGGGACAGAGAATGGAGCGAGCAGCTGCTGTCTGAGGATGGAGCTGGGAAGCTGGGGTGTGGGTGGCTTCGGGTCCATGCTGGAAGAGCGTGTGCAGAACCTAGAGGATCGCCTGGCGACATTAATTGGAGAGCTAAATCAGGACAGCATCCCACTGGGCAGGTCTGTGCGGCCCCTCGTGCCGACAGAGCTGGCCGTGCTAGAACAACGGCTGGTCTCCCTGGAGACCTCATGCACCCCCAGTACCACGTCAGCCACCCTGGACAACCTCGTGTCAGAGGTGAAGGCCTGGCAGAGCCGGAGCGAGACCCTCCTACACCAGGTGGCCAGCCACACGGCTCTGCTACAGCAGCTCAATGGCACTGTGGCTGAAGTCCAGGGGCAGCTGGCAGGAGGGACGGGCAGCTCACTCCAAGGTGAAATCACTCTACTGAAGGTCAACCTGAACTCAGTGAGCAAGTCGCTCACAGGCCTCAGTGACTCTGTCAGCCAGTACTCTGATGCTTTCTTGGCTGCCAATACATCTCTGGATGAGCGGGAACGCAAGGTGGAGGCTGAAGTCCACGCCATCCAGGACCAGGTCAGCAGCCAAGGCTCAAGGCTCCGGGCTGGCCACAGGCAGGTCCTGAACCTGCAGGGGGAGCTAGCGCAGCTCAAGGCTGGTATGGCCAATGTGGCCAGGGGGCTGAGCCGCTGCCAGGACACCGCCCGAGAACTCCAGCGTGCCGTGGGCCACTTCGACCAGCGGGTGGCACAAGTGGAGGGCATGTGCAGGAGGCTCGGCCTACTGGCTGCCAGCCTGGACAGCTTGCCCACCGAGCCACTTAGGTCCAGGGAGGGCCTGTGGGGCCACGTGGACCAGCTGAATCGCACACTAGCCCAGCACACAGAGGACATCGCCCATCTCCGAGATGACCTGCTGGACTGCCGGGCCCAATTGGCTGAGCAGGTGAGGCTAGGGCAAGCCGACTAGGCAGCCTGGATAGGATCCAAGCATCAGATCGCATCAACTCTGGGAACAGCATCCCAGAGCCCAGTCTTACCCAGCCGGGCCTCCAGGCCTCCCGGGACCAGCCCAGCTGCCACCTCAGAGGCCGTTGGACCAACAGTATCAGTCCAGCGTCGTATGACTATCCTGGTCATCAGTGCTCCACAAACTAGACAATTCAGGATAGTGATCAAGGCAAGGATGTCATGCATGAAGGCCAGGATGGACTTCAAAGAGCACACATTCCATGGCCTACAACTTGCTTTTTTACAGACACATTGGAGTTAGCAACTGTGCAAGTTCTCCTTGCCCATTCTCAGACAGGGGCCTATCCACAGCTCCCTTTGCCCACAGTGGGTAGCGTCAGCCCTTGGAGATTTCTGTTCCCTTGTACCTTGGCTTCTACCATAGCCATCTGGATGAGGGTTCTGCAGGAAAGTGGTCCCCACTGGAACTATCCTCACACATGGCAGCTTCATGGATGCTGTTTCTGAACCAAGGACCAGAAGCCACCAGAGGTTTCCAACTCCCCACATCCTTCAGAACTGAAGGGAAGCACAGAGACCCACTGAGGGTTTTCTTTATTTTTTCTGATCCTCCCTCAAGGTGAGGACTGAGGCAGCTGTAGATTCCTAGACCAAAGAGTGATATCCAGGCAATCTGTTTGGAGACTTCACTTTATTTTTTTTTTTTCCTTTCCTTCCCCCAAAGACGTTTTCAGGGCTCTGGTCCTCTTCTTTCCAGTTGGAGAAAAATCTCCTGTTCCCACAGATCAGTACCTCTCTCCTAAGTGTGGCTTTAATGTATATGGAGGCCCAAAGGAAGCCAGACCCTGAGAAAGCCATAGCTGGGGGAACAGGAGATTAGGCCTTGCTTTTAACACCCTTACAAAACCCTAGCCCTGCCAGGATGATCACAGAGAGGTAAGCAATTCAGGTATGAAACCATCAAGGCACAACTGGAAAAACACAAGTGTTCCTCAGGCCCACACAATTCCCACCTGTGCCGAGGCTGTTGGCCTTGGTTCCCCTCACGGTGGCATGGGCCTCCTGTGCTGTCTGCAGGACCCCTTCTGAACATTCGGTGCTGTGCCCTCCACCCTGGCACCATGGGAGGAGGGCAGATTCTGGATTAAAGCTTTCAGCCAGTCTAAAAGTGCTTTTTTTCCCCAAAGGCAGTGTGAGGGAAGACTGCTGGGGGTGTCACCCTGTGCCTCAAGTGAGAGCTCTCTCAGCAGCTGAACACTGCACTGACTCTCAGAGGCCAGGCGAGGTGGTCAGCAGACACCACCTACCAGGGCCAGGTGTGAGGCTGAGTCCTCAAAGGATGTTCTGAGAGGATCAGGGACAGTGGCGAGGCTGCGATGGGGCAAGCAGGAGCCACGTTTCCTCAGTCCTTGTGGGATCCGAGTTTCCTTTTCCTGACGTCAGGCACCAGCGAGGGAGGCAGTGATGCCCAGCTCGGGAACTGAGCAGGGGTGGGGCCGTGGAGAAGCTGCTTTGCAGGGCACAGTCTAGGCTCCCACAGGAGCACGGCTTGAGCACGGTGTTCTTTCCCAGTGCCACTCAGCCATGCCCTGCTGCCACTGATGCCCTCTTCCCTATACAGATAGGCCTCAAGTCTCAGAGTCTTCCTCTTGTCTGACATGTTGAGTTCAGGCAAAGTCCCAGGGTGGCTGGGACAGGACAGACGGACACATTAAAGACAAAGACAAACCCTGGAAGGGCCTAAGTGACTTTTTTTTTTTTTTTTTTTTGCCGTGCTGGAGATGGAATCTAGGGCCTCATACTTGCTAGGCAAGCTACATCCTCAACCCTTTTTATTTTGAGACAAGGTATTACTAAGTTGCCCAGGCCAGGCTCACTGGCAGTCCTCCTATCTCAGCCTCCCAAGTAGCTGGAATTACCGGCATATGCCAGCATGCCCAGTAGTACCATGCTATAGGTCAAAGACACACAGATCTATGGCAGCTGCCCTATACCCTTTGTCTGGGACATGGGAGTCTCTGTGGCTACAAGTCAGTGTGTACCCGCCCCCCTTCCTTTAGTGTTTTAGAAGCCTGTTGTACCTGGCTTCTAACCCCTTGTACCTCCAGATGCCCAGTCCTGGACCAGACCAGTGAGGGGCAGCTGGGGCTGGCTCAGGCCAGGGTATCAAGGTCCACGGCAGGTAATGGCTGCCGCCAGTAGCAGAAATTGCTGTACTCAGGGTTGATCAGGTCTGTGCTGGGGCCACGGGCCACAGGCGGGAAGAGGAGCTCAACCACCTCACCAAGCCGTTCATACCTACAGGCAGAACAGGGTGGCACTGAGAGCCTGAGTCACTGCCAGAGCTTGGCCTCTGCCACAGCAGGTGGGGGCTCAGCATCCTGCCCAGGATCCTACCAGGAGAGGAGGTAAAATTGGGGCCCAGGGAGAGGCCAGGGCAGGGGGACATGGCACAGCACAGGGGGCATGTGGCAGGGTTTGGCCTCACGTGGATTTGTGGTTCTTCATGAGCTCCTGAATGAGTTCTCCCCGGGGGTTGACTGTGAAGATTCGAGATTCAGGTAGGCCTACCTGTCGGTAGGCAAAGACATCCTGTGGAACAAGGACATGGGTGGTAAAAGTGAGGCTGCTGGGGGCTAGGGAGGAGGGGGCTCAGCCCGTGGGGAGGGGGCACACTCACATTAGCCCTGTTCCCAAAGGCAGCATAGAAGGGCTGTCCATGGGGCAGAAAGAGCTGCTGGATGTCACTCAGACAGGCAACCTTGAACACCTCTGGCTTCTTCTCAATCACCTCCCTGGAGCAGCCATGGCCACAGGCAGGGAAGAGAGCCAAGTAGGGGCAGTAACCAGAGGGGGCAAGGGCAGGTGACCCTGCCCCAGCTCACACCCAAGAACAAACACTAGCTAGGCTGGGCTGGCCATGCATCTGCCCCTCCCCACAGGGACCCCGGGCTTGTGTATGGGGTGGTTACCTGTGGAGGGCAGAGAAGAGGCTGCTGGGAGACAGCAAGATGGGGCCCTTGGGGAGGCCGCAGCCACCCTCGCTCACCCACTGCAGGTACCCCTTGGTGAGGTCAGCCATGCCAATAGCCCTTGCTGAGCAGTACAGGAACTTGTACCCATTTCTGGGGGAGAGGGTGAGGTGGCTCAGAGTTATCAGAGACTAGCCACTCCTACCCCACCCCTTGGCTTTGGCCACCCCACCCCAGCCCAGCCCGTGGTTCTGGTCTTCAAAGTCAGAGGGCTTTGCAGGGAGGAGACTTAAGGAAAATGGCAAGACCAGGCCTGAAAGAGATGGCCTCAGTGGCTGTCCCTGCTAGAAGCTCAGGCACATTCCTGAGACCCAGTGGGTCAGGCTCCCACCCAGGCTGAGGCCAGGGGTTAGATGGCTCATAGGAGAACTAAGAACCAGGAAGGTCTCAGTGCTCCATGGACCTCCCAGGCTGACCCTCTTGTGGCCCCTATTGGTTCCTAAGCTTGGCTTCCAAGGGCAGAGGTCAGAGTGGTCTAAGACATCCTGTTATCCCCCTTCTACATGGGGGCCCTGGCTCAGTCCGAGCCCAGCACTCACAGGTGGATTTTGTTGTAGAGACTAATGATGCCTTGATGTGTCCAGTCTTTCCCCAGCTGGGGCAGAATGTGTCCTAGAGCATCCGACCTACAGTCAGAAAGGGTCACTCTGAGGCCATCCTACATGGCCCTCAACCTCCATGGGTGGGGCCCAGTGGGGTTCGGCCCCCACCCAGGATGGCCTGATAGAAAGGGAGGGCCTCCCACACTGTTCCCTGCCCCTCCACACACCCAACACAGAAAGAAGTGAGTCCTCAGGCCCTCCCTGCCCTCCTCCTGGTCAGCAGGGCCTCACTTGGTGATGGTGCCATCGATGTCAGAGACGATCACCTGGTCATCCCATTTCCACAGGTAGATGGTGGCCTTGCAGCGGCAGGTGCCCTGGTACTGGGTGGTCACGCTGAAGACTACATCATTGGCACCTTCATGGAGGTTCAGGCGCCGCTGGAGCCAAGCAAGGGAAGGGGTTGTGACCTGCCGCTGTCAGACACTATCTACCTCTTTCCACCCAGACTGTGGCCTTTGACCCTCACAGGCCACTCATTCTCCTGTTCCAGTTCAGAGGCCATTCCTAAAGGGTCTAAAGACAGCCACACACAGACCCACATGGGCAGAGAGTATCCGTGCTGACCTGGGCCCTGCACGGCTCGGGCACAGGAGCCCTGACACCCCCCGCCCTCTTTTACTCCCTTAGGATGTGAATCTCAGACAAGCCACAAGTCTGGGACTCCCTACCCAGGTTTCCAGGGTGATCCCAAGGCTTGGGCTATTCCTAGAGGGAGACACCCCTCTCTATAGATGGGGTCCCTGTGGGATCTTCACAGGAAGCCCTTACCTGGGGCTAGGGTACTTGACTCAACATTCCCCTAAAGAGAGACCTAGTCCTCTATGTGGGCCATAGAGAAGGATGAGGACAGCAGCTCTACCAAAGCCAGGTAACTTCCAACCCCTGGCTGATCCTGAAGTAGGAGTGAGCTCCAGAGTACCAGGTCAATGGTGGCTGCTGTGTACCAGACCGGTCAGCCCCTCCTGCACACTTCCCTGACCTTGGTGCCACACTCAAGAGGGAAACTTATTATAGGAGCCACTAGTTACAAGCTTAGGGAACTCATAACAGCCCAAATCTGAAGGACTTATCAGCATTTGTTTCTTTTAGTGTGGTTTCCAAGGGCAGACCCAGAACCAGCTTGTTCACTGCAGGCACATGTCTCAGTCAAAGCATTCGACAGAAAAATGGGTTGGTGTGGAAGAAGTGAGGCCCCTGTCCCTGATGGCATTCAAGCAGAGGCTGGCAGGGAGCATGCCCAGAGGATGGATTCTGGCCTTTGGTGACCCGTGCCTCAGCTTTGCCCCAAAAGACTGGGACAGAATTAGATCACCCCTGCTAGGAGGTTCAACTCACCCTGTGTGTGTGCACTTACAATCTGATCAGAAGAGAGGCGGAGGGACTTCTTGTAGGTAGGAATGTAGGCTGGGGCTGAGGGTGGTGGGGAGGGGACCTCCAGGATCACAGGGCTGTCTGGGGCATCGTCATCACTGCTTGGGACTTCTGTCTTCTCCCTGCAGGCAGGACCCACACTCAGGCCACCTCCCCAGCAGAAGGCCAGTCATTTGAAGTAGATGTTCTCTCAACCCAGCCCATGAGCAGCCTGGGGCTTGTCCTTGTCCTTCCAAAGACCACCCTCCCCTCTAGGTGCCACCATGTGTGTGGGGGGTGGTGGCAGACACTGGGGCTGGCTGGTCATGTCCAGGGTGCAAGGCCTGGCCTGGAGATGTTTACCTAAAACACCTAACATGCATCCTGGGACCTATTCCTAGTTCCACTGCTGTGGTCTTAGCCAGTCCATCCTTGGTCACCCTCCACCCAACTTCATGTGGCTGGGTCACTTTGGAGGTGAAAAAAGCAAACCAGATCATCTGACCCCTGTGAGCTGGGGAGAGAGAGGCCTCACCTCTCCTAAACATGGCAGCCCCTTGTCCAGGCCAGGAGTCTGAGCCCCTGTTCCAGTTCCGGCTGAGGGACATTTAATATGTCTCTAGATCTAAATTTTCCCATCTGTGCAGTATGGACATGTTCAGGAATGAAGAACCAGAGCTGGGGAAGGTGCTGCTCCACGTCCCCCACTCCCTACAGCAATCCTCCCCAAGCTCTCGCTGCAGAGCCCTGCCAGGAGCTCCAACTCACCCCTGGTGCTCCCTGGCTGTGAGGTTCTCCCTCTGGACACCCTGCTGCAGAGGAACAGCCATCAGTGAATTTTGCCTCCTGTCCTGTGCTCGCCCCACCTTGTGTCCATGACCACCCACCTCCTCTGCTGGGAAATCCCTTCGTCGCCAGGAAAACCACCACCGCCCACCCTTCTGGGGCATCTTCTCCTTCTCCAGCTTGTCCACGGTGCTCTGTGGGCAGACAAAGTTCTTTCTGCACCCTACAAACCTACCTTACGTTCCCCAAGGGGCCCCCATGAGTCCAAAGTCAGGACCAACCCTACAGCATTACACTGTGAACATCAACAGGCTGAGAAATCATGTTCACCTCCCTTCAGAGATTCCAAGTGATGACTCAAGAAGCTTTGTATGGGAGATTAGGGCCATTACTGTTCCTCAGCCCTGACCTAGCTCCAGCCCCACCTCAGCCTGGCCTCAGCCACAGAGAATAGCTGAAGGTAGTGCTGCCCTGGGAGTTTCTTAAAAACTGGTATTCCATGCATGATGCTGCCAAGTGGCAGCAGAAAGGAGTCTATAGCTAGAACACCCCTCAAACTCCAAGGCAGACATAAGCAAGCCACTGAAGTCAGTAATCCTCTCCCATGAACAGCCTCCCGCTCTGTATGTTCTCGTTACCATCTGATTGGGGCAATATGACCTTGTGAAAAATGCTGATTAGATCTGTGCTAAATAACCCCAGGGACAGCCCAGGCCAGGGCCCACCTGAAAGACACCAGCACATGTACAGACCCAGAATGGAGAGCCCTAGTTCAGGAAGACATGGGCTTAGGGACACCAGCCAGGGTACTCCTTGTGCTGGAAGCAGGTTGGGTGGGGTTCCTCAGGGGCCTCAAGTAGCGAGTCTGTCTGGGTAAGACCAGGAGAGCCAAGCAAAGGGGTGGCTGTCTTCCTTCTCACTAGGTAGAATAGTGTCATATAAGGGAGATGGCTGTCAACATCTGACTAGTAATGCTCTTTGGCCAAGCCTAACCTATCCAAGAACAATGATTCATGCCAGGGTGGGGCCCTAGAAAGCTTCCAGAGGCACAGGCTGGAAATGCCCAGCAAGGCACTGTCCTCTGAGTGAGAGCCAGATGGAGCTTCTGGAAGAGAATGAAGAGGCTGGGTCATTTTCCACCTCTGGGAATCTGTACCTGCTACTCCCTGCCTCAAACTGCTCAGGGCAAACTTACTCTCCAGTCTGCCAGGGGGCCCCTGGCTCAGCAACCCACCCCCCATTGTAGGCTCTTGCAGCACACTAGTCCTCTCCTCCCCAGCATACAGCTGAATTTTATATTGACTGAATGATTTCTTTGATTAAACCCATCTTCCCAGAAGTTGAGGACAGTTTCTGTTTGGTTCATGACTGTCCCCAATCTGGGCCTAGCACATACTAGGTACTCAACAAATGTGTTCTGATTAAGTGAGTAAGCAGCCCTCTGCCTTTCCTGGAGGGGTAGTTTTAGAGGAAGAGGAAGGATGAGACCCTTGTCTCCCAAGACTCATTTTTCAGACCCAAAATCTTCCCATCAGAGGCACATCTTAGTTTAGGCATCCGTTGGATGTTTATGACCCTCTGGTGCGTCCTGAGCTCCCTCCTCTGAAGTAAAGTCCCAGTGAAATAGGATCCACCCATGGCTAGGAAACCCCAGAGAGGTGGGGCTTTGTACGTATGAGATGAGATCAGGCTTGGGGACCTCTGTCTCCCCTCTCAGAGTTGGTCTTGCAACTAGCAGCTGCAGGCCCTCAGGCCTGTCTCTCCCCTCGCTTGTTAGGGGCCTCTCTATTCCAAGCTATGGCCCCAACCATGTTCCAACCATTACCTTGGGCAAGTTCTTCTGGTAAGCTTGCAGGGAAAGGATCATGGGGGCAGCCACAGCCCAGTTATAGTACCTAGAGAGACAGGATGGGTGTTGAGATTGCAGTGGGTGAGTCTTGGGCCACCAGCAGCCCCAGCCTGCTACTTACTTCTCATTGATTTTCACCACGAGGTTTGAGTCATCCAGGAGCCCAGGGTTTTTGGTGAGATCCTGGTAGGAGACGATGTGCTCGTTGAATTTCTCTGGGCACACAGGCAGAGAATGAGGGCTGAGGCCAGCACGCCCCACGTGACCTGCTATCCCCCTGTGACTCCAAGCTCCCACACTCTATTACACATCTCCCGCCAGTTGGTTCTTTGACCTGGCAGGAGTCCTCCTTATCTGTGGTTTTGCACCTGTTCACACCCCAAGGATCACAGGAAAGTCACAGCTTCGTGGCATTTGCTTCACAGGGACTTGGGAATGCCCAGCCTGTGCTGACCAAGAGAGGCCTCCAGGGAAGAGGATGGCAGGGAAGCTGGCCTAGCCTCACGGCTGCTCTGGAGGTCTTCCCTGCTGTCCCCTGTCCTTTGTGCTCCACACTAACCCTTAGAAAGGCTCCGTTCCTGTCAAACCTACCCTGGGAAATGTTCCGGCTGTCAGCCAGTCCACCGCAGAGGGACAGTGCTATGATGTCCACTGAGTCTGGAGTGGATTCCGGTTCACGTTCAGGGTTGGGGCTCCCCAGGAGCTTCTGGCTGCAGGGTTCACTCCACCGCCTGGCTCCTAGCCCACAGTTGCTGGGGGCAAAGGTGTTGACAATGATATAAATACAAAGAAGAAAGGGGCAGGTTCCCACTCCTTCCAGTAGCTTGACAGTGGACCTTTGGCCCCCTGGGGCCTTGGCACCTAGAACCCAGCACCTTTGAGGGAAGTAAAGAGCTGCATTCTCAGAGTCCAGGGAGGACAAGTCATCCAGGTAGATGTCACTGGGGCCCAAGTGCTGGCCTTTCTTCTGAGAGCCTAAGGACAGAGGAAGGACATATGCTCAGTGGCACGAACAGCACGTGTCCCCTTGCCTTATGACTCCCCCAAGTCATCGCTGTGCAACAGAACTGACTGCAATGATAGAAATGTCCCGTATCTTCACTGTCCAATATGGTAGCCACTAGCCATACATGGCTATTAAAAACCTTTAACAGGGTTGGTGTGACAGAGAAACAAAATATTAAGTATAATTAATATATATATTTTTCCTTTTAAACTGGGGATTGAACCCAGGGTCTTTACACTGAGCTATACCGCCAGCCCTTTTGTACTTTTTATTTTGAGATAGGGTCTTGCTATGTTGCCCAGGCTGGGCTAAAACTTGCTATCCTCAGGTCTCATCCTCTGAGAGTGCTGGGACCATTGGTGTATACCACCACACCTGGCTTGCTTAGTTTTTTAAAGCTGCATATAAGCCAGTGGCTACTGATTTGTTTTTGGTACTGGGGATTGAACTCTGGACCTTGCACTTGGGAGGCAGGTGACGTTGCCACTGAGCCGAATCCCCGGCCCCCAGTGGCTGCTGATCTGGATGGTGCAGCCCAAGTGCCTCCCGTCACTCTTTGCTAAGGCCCAGCCTGTGAGCTAGGGAAGGCCCATCTCTTTGCATTTTGCAGACTTCTTATCCCAACCCTCTCCCCTTCCTCACTCAAGACTTCGCAGCTGCCCTCAGTTCCTAGACAGGAAACCTCTCCCCCTTCATCTCCTCCTCATGCTGTTTCCTCTGTCTAGAAGTCTCCTGTTCCTTATTTGGGTAGATCTTTATCATCCATGACTCAGCTCCAACATCACCTGCTCAGAGAAGCTTTCCCTGATCACTTGATTTAAATAATCCCCTTTCCAACCAACTGCTTTGTTCCCATGTGGCCCATGCCATGGTCTTCCTTGTTACAATGTGCCGTTTGTCTCTCCCGGTGGACTGGCAGCCCCAGGAGAGCTGGTCCAAGCACAGTTCCTAGTGCAGTAGGTACTCAGAATGTACTTGAAGTCCCAGAGCCCACCCAGGGGATAGCATGAGGGCAGGAAGCAGTACAAATGGTCAGCCAGCACTCACTTTTCCCCCTGGAGACTTCCGGCTGCCCAGTGGGAGCAGTATCCTCCAGAAGGGCCCAGTTCCATGATTTAGCAGCAGGAAGGAGGTTTGCATCCTTGGAGCTCTGAACCTTTGTTTCTTCACCCACTGGGGAGGACTGAGGGCAATCCATCAGGGTTTTCCTCCAGCGGGACTCCACATCAGGCCCAAACAGATTAGCACTGTCCCCTGTTTGTGGGATTTTGAGTCCCAAAGGGCCCAGGGCAGCCACAGAGGAGAAAGAGGTGCTGGGTCCCCTTTGAAGAGGAGTGGTTGTTCCAGTGCCACATACAGGGACTACTGAGGACTCAGGCTGCTCAGCTTTGGCCACCTTCAAACAAACACGGGAAGAGATTGGCTGGTGCTGGCCTGCCTCCCATGCCCCACAAAGCCTTGAGGAAGGTGGCCCAAGTCTCAGTCACTCCAATCCCAACCCACAGGGCCCAGGCGCCCGTGAAAAGCAGAGACAGGGGCTTATACAGAAGAACTTACCTTCGGCAGCCTCCCCCAGGCCCACTGCATATGGGACTCAGCTATCAAGGGACTGGATTCTGAGGCCCGCAGCTCCAACTCTGAGTCACTCTTAGGGAATATTAGGCCACCTGACAAGAGACTGTAGGAAATATACTCAGAGGCCTCCCTGACCCAGCCCCCACCCTCTGCCGCCCAGTCTGAGGGGAAAATATCTGCAACATAATTTGTGTCCATGTTGAACTCAGGATATACAAAGAAATGTAAAGATATAAACACTATATAAATATACAAAGAAGTCCCATAAATCAAAAATAAGACCATCTAGTTTAAGAAAAAAAAAAAATGAGGGCAGGATATGATTGTTCCATGAAAACAAGGTTTCCTTTGAGAGTGATGGAAAGTTCTAGAACTAAAAGTGGTGGTGGCTACGTAACATCCTGAATGTACTTAATGTGACTGAATTGAACACTTTGAATTGATTAAAATGCTAAAATTTTTTTTAAATTTTGGTACTGGGGATCGAACTCTGGACCTTGCACTTGTGAGGCAGGCGGCGGCACCGCTGAGCTAAATCCCCAGCCCTAAAAAGCTAAATTTTATGTTGTGTGTATTTTACTGCAATTTTAAAATTAGCAAAAGACTTGAACATTACAGAGAAATACAAATGGGCAGCAAACACATGAAAGGGGTTCTATGTCATTAGTCATCAGAAAGAGGCACTCTGAGACCTGGGTCTAGAGAGCCAGGCTGCAGCCCACCTGGGCGCTTACCTGTCCTGGGGGAAGCACTCGCCATCAGAGCAGGGGTAGATGTCTTTCGGCTGCAGTGACAATTCCCTTTCCAACTGAGCACTGCTGAAGGACCACAGGGAAATAGTCACCAACAGGGTAGGACACACCAGGCAGGGGACAGGAGTCTGGATATCAGGGGTTTGGGGAGGTGAAGCAGCTAAAGCCCAGAGTCCTACAGCAACCCCAGATTGGTGTCCCCATAACCACAGCCTTCGCCGGATTCCTACACACCCTAGGGACTCTGGCTTCAGCTTTCCCAGAGGGGACAATTCACTCTCGGCTCCAGCCTCCAGCTCCTCAGAACTAGACTCAGTTGCTACTGCATCCTCCTTTCGCCTGGATTTCTTCCTTCGACGCTTCTTCCTCCGGCCCTTGATGATGAGGCCTTCAGGCTCACTGGTGGTGCCAACCTGGGAGTCTGAGGGGAAGCCAGACAGGCCGCCCCAGGGGATGGGGGAGGTGCACAGGCGGGGAGGCACGTCTTCCTGTGGAGCAGACAGCTGCAGAGCTGAGGTGGGATGCCACATCTACAGCCATCCTGAGCCCTACCTGAGGCCCAGGCCTTGCAGTAAGCTCATTCAGGGTCAGAAAGGCCAGTGTGGACACTGGGCAGAGGTAGCAGCAGCATGGCCCATAGCCAAGCTGATCACAGTGGTCCCTCAGAGAGTAAAGCAACCCCAGGGAGCCACCTACCACCCCGGCAGGCCAGGCAGAAGCAGCGGCGCTGCCCCTCATCTCCTCCTCTGTCCAAGTCTGTTACAAGGAAATACCAACTTCTTCAAGGCTCTGCCTAACGTTACCTCCTCCAGGAAGCTTGCCCTGACTATTTCCAACCCCAATTCTAATTCCCTTCACTGTAGTGACCAAACAGGTTTATGTGTCTGTCTCCCTGACTAGCCAGGAACTTTCTTTGAAGGCAGGGGTCACCCCTTGTCTGAGTCTGCTACATAATCTCTAGCATACACATAGTTTGTAAGTTCAGCCACTTTAAACTCCTCCATGGGCTTGTGCTGGGCCTTCTCCTCTCCAGGCTGCTCAGGGACGGGGGCGGGGGGGGGGGGGCCTCCCGGAATCCCTTGGGGGTAGCTCAGAGGCCCGCTATTCTGAGACCTGGAAGTAGCTCCAGCCAGAGCTGGCGCCTTCTCTGGGCCCAAAGCCACCCCCCACTGACCCCCCGACATCAGACCTCTGCCAACGGGGTGCTCCCAAGGGTGGGGACAGTGGCAAATCCCGAGGCCCCACCCAGAGGCGGCACCTGTGATGGGGCAGGCTCAGGCTCGGAGGGCAGCCCTCACCTCATCACTCTCCAGCTCCTGGACAAAGAAGGCCTCCCCACTGTCCCCCAGCTTCATTTGCAAGTCCACCGGCTCCCCATTGATCTCAATGTCCACCTGCAACGGGAAGGGGGAATGTGTGGTCCACACCACAGGCCCTCATGCCATGCTCTAGTCCACTGCAGACACAGCTCCTTGCTGCCCCAAGCTCTGCCCTGACTGAAACCTTCTAATCCAGACCTAAGTGTGCCTGGCTACTTGTTTAGCACTTGGTTTCCACATTCTTCTCTTTCCCATGCCTCATGAGCACAGTGACATGATCTGTCCTGTTCCAGTCCCTAGGTTGTTGACTGCATGAACAATGGTGAAATTCACTGCTTACTGGGTACTTTGTATGTTTTTTTGCACAAATTACCTTTTCAATCTTCACAACAACCTCTTGCAGTCACTCCTATTATCATTTCCACTTTATAGATGAAGACAAGGCTTACAGGGAGTTTAAGTCCTTTGTGAGGAAGTGGCCTCACAGCAAGTGAGTCTACGAACCCAGAAAACCTGAGTCCACCACCCAAACTCTTAACCTCTGAGTATACTGTCTCTCATAGATTACACTTTCCTGTAAGCATTCTGGAAAGTTCATAGTCACCTCCACGTAAAGGAAATTAGGGATCCACCTACCATTGTTCACACCTGGGGCGTTGGGGCTAACAAAAATCTCTATCACATTCACCTGAGCCAGGTTTCCTAAGGGAGAGGAATGAACCTTGGAGCGTCCCCACATAGCTGGCCCTGAGGCGGCATTATCAGTTCCTGTTTACTCTTCCAATCCATACCAAGACCACCACCACCGACAGGTAGTGAGGTCACAGACACAGGTGAAGCGGCCGGGCTCACACATGAGGTGATTTAGCAAGAGCAAGGGTGAAGTCTTAGTAAACTCCAGCCAGGTCTGACGGCTGCAGCAGTTGGTCTGGCCTGCCAGGCCTCTTCTATGGAAACATGGGGGGGTCTTCCCAGGGTCCGGACCCCAAAACCTTCAATGAAAATGCAAAATAAGAGAAACTTTCCCAAAGGACAGATGCCCACCCAAGAGAGGCCTGGGTCCTCTCCTGGGACTGAAGTGGATGTCCTGCCCTAAAGGGCCAGATGTTGTGGCACATGCTGGAAATCCCATCACTCTGGGAGGCTGAGGCAGGGAGATCATAAATTTAAGCCTAGCCTGGGCAACTTAGTGACTTAGCGAGACCCTTTCTCTAAATAAAAAATAAAAAGGGGCTGGAGATGTAGCTTAATGTGAAGGCCCTGGGTTCAATTCCCAGCACTGATTAAAAAAAAAAAAAATCTCACAGCGGCCACCTGACCAGCCAGAGCACTCACCACCTTCTCCCGAGATCGAAGGACGCCCAGTTTGCCAAACCGGACATGGAAGGGCGAGCACCGGAAGGAGCCATCCACCTGCTTCACCACCAGCACGTCGATGCCACCACTCAGGGTGGTGGGGTTCAGGCCCCGGTAGAGCTCCTTCACAGTCCCAAACACCGTTTCCGCCAGTTGCCCCACGTAGTTCATGGCTGCCTGTGGCAAAGAGAGGCAGTGCTGTAGAGCAAGGCTCCCTCTGTAGAGGGATCAGCCTTCTGTGGCCTGATCATCCAGATGCCAGGTTTATGTTGAGTCCTGCCTGAGAGCAGGAGTGAGTGCCTCTGCACAGAGAGCTGTGGGATGTGAGATGCTCCCAAAGACAAGGGTCTACCCCTGGCTTGCCCACCAGCCTCCCGTGGGGCCTTCAGACGGCAGGCTCCCTTCCCCAACTGCTGATCTCTGCATCTGCAAAAATAAAGGCACAGGGTATGACAATACCTATGTGCCTGTGCTTCTAAATGCCATGACTCATGGTAATGACCATAGGGCTCAGTGGGCATGGCTCATTTAATTGTCGCAACAACCTGTGAGGCTGGCAGAGTGAGTATTACTACTCCTGTTTACAGGTGAGCCAGCTGAGGCTCTGAGAGGTGGAATGACTTGCCTAAGATCTCACATCTAGTAAGGACAGGACCTAGGATCCGAGCCCAGACTGTGGAGTGAACCATTGGTGTGACTCAACTGTGGAGACAGGAAAGGGTGGGCAATGGGGGCAGTTTCATGATAAATCAGCCCCAGGGCCCTGCTGGGTAATGAGTGACAATCTTAAAGGAAGCGGGCAGGAGGGGTCTCTGCTTGTCCATCTGAGAAAGGGGTTCTGCTGTCTCATTGTCTCCTGGTTCTGGGGATTAGAAGGGGGTTTGGTGGGTCACTGTGGCTCATCTGTGGGGGACCAAGAGTGGGGGTATCCAAGAGAGCTAAGGCTCTGCTCAGCCCTACTTCTGGAATCAGATACCCAAGGCAAGGCGTCTCCTAGAGCTGGGGGACCAAGGCTCCAAACCTCAAATTCCTTCTTAGTTTTCCTGATGGGATCCATGTCCATGGCTGGCCAGGTCCACAGCCTGACTCTAGGACCTTCAGATCAGCCCCCAGTTTCAGACCAAGATTCAGCCAGGAAGGTCCTTGGACCCTTGCTGAGGGCTTGGACAGAAGCTGCTTCTTTCCCCAGTCAGACTGGTCCCTCCAGCTTTCTCACATCAAGCAGGGCTGAGTGAAGCAGAAGCAGGAGGCTATGGCAGCAGTGGAGAAAAGCCAGGCTGTAATAAGAGCTGCCTCCAAGCTGGCATGATGTCCATGCTGCCAGCCTCAGCTCATCGTTCCTGCCTTGGGGTCCAGGCCAGTGAATTGCTGCACCTTTGCATGCCAGGACCCAGACTGTCCCATCTCCATAGTGCCTCTCTCAGGCCCTGCATCATCAGAACCACTGGAGGATGCAGCCTGCCATGTAAGACCACCCCCCAAAGAAGCTAAATGACCTATCCAAGGTTAAGTGATTTATCCATGCTCTATTAAGCTAACAGGGTACAGATGTATGTGTATGTGTGTGTGTGTGTGTGTGTGTACGCGCGCGTATGCGAGCCAGTGTGTTGATGGCTCATATCCAGGTCTGTTGATTCCATGCTATGGGCTCCTTCTAGTCCATGGTCCCAAAACCACATCACAGTTGTCTGCAGAGAGGGCAGCACAGCCCACAGCCTCCTCTGTGCTGCCTTACATTGAAATGTGGTCCATGATCCAGCGGCATCAGCATTGTCCCTGGGGGCCTGTTAGAAACAGAAACTTGGGCCCAACACAGCCTCCCTGAGTCCACATCTGCACTTTAACAAGATCCTCTGATGATGCGGCACCCTTTTGGGTTTGAGAAAAGCTGTCTGTGTGCACAGTGCAAGGCCTACTCTTGGAAGAGACTGAATGACAGGACTCCCAGGGTCGGCATTGCTCAGGTAATGCTGCTACCCTTCCTGTCCAGGGATGGCAAACCAAGCAGTGGATTCCCTCAGTCTATGCTGGAACTTCACCCACAATTTGAATTGCTAAAGTGACTGTGGAGTGAAATGAAACTCTTCAAAGTTCATAGTCATCTCGACGTAAAGATTTGGGCCCACATGTCCTAACATCCTAAGACAGGATCCCTAACATGTCACTCAAATTCAGTAACTATTTTATCTGCAAGTCACCTGCTTATTGTGTGCTACAAGCTTCCAGAAACAAAAGAGCAAACACGGGAGAGGCAGAGCAGGAGAAGGGTCTTAGCTACTGGGGGCCCATGTCTGAGCCACCTGCCCTGCTGAGGGATAAAGAGCTGGCGTGGAGAGGATGGTGGCGGGTTCAGCTTGCTCTAGCAATTTCTCACCTTCAGGATTACTACCACTTGGTGCTAGAAAATTCTCTGCTGTGGGCTGCTGTGCACGGCGCATCCCTGACCTCTTCCCAATAGATAGGTACCAGTAGCACTTCCTCTCCCCAACTCCAGGTCGTGCATCTGAATTGCCTACTGTCATTGCTAAATGTCACCTGGAGCGCAAAATCGCCCTGATTGAGAACCAATGATCTAGTAGAAAGAGATCAAGGACCAGAGACGGGCACCGAAGGGACACTTGGGTCCTATTCAAATCCATTCATGGAGTTTTTCAGGCAAGTAACTTGCTGGCCTCAGTTTTCCTTTCTATGAAACAGGCCTCAGCTCAGACTCATTTCAGCTCAGATGTCACAGGAGTCCGGAATTCTTTCCTCTTTCGGTTCCCCTGTCCCACCACTGGCTGCCCCACCTCACCTGCCAGCTCAGCATTTTGGGCTCCTCCCCCTACCTACACCTACCCTTGAGGGCACATTCTTTCCCCAGGATTCTACTGTCTCCTCCCCCCACCCCCTCCTCCATGTTCCGACAAGGACCTCTGTTGGCTCCCTTCTACCCTCAAAGGAACATGTCTAAAATCAGCACTTCATCTTTGTCCCTGGAAGCCCAGGCCTCTGAACGTCTCCCAGAGCTCATTGGCACTCCTCCCTTGTAGGCCTTCTGCTCTTATCACCCAGTTCCTGGTCCTCCAGCTGACCTAGTTCAAAGCCTTATCACCAAGATCCCCAGGGCCGGGGATTTAGCTCAGTGGTTCCACTGCCTGCCTTGAAAGCGCAAGGTCCTGAGTTTGATCCCCAGTACCCCCCCGCCCCCCCCCAAAAAAAAACCCAAACCAAGATCCCCAGATCATGGGTGGCCTCGGGGCATTATGGGTCAGGGCACAAGACCACCTGGGTTCTAATCTGCATTATGCCGATTACTAGCTGTGACTCTGGGCAAGTCACATCATCTCTCTGGCTCTATTTTCTGTCTTTGGTGGGGATTTTATCAGGTATTGGTGAGTAACTGAGATAATTTGTATCAAGCTCTGCTGTGTAATAAATGGCCATGTGTGTCACCTAGCAGGAGCAACAGCATCTTCTGTGGCATCATGACAGCCCTGCTCACTCAGGCATAGGGCAGGCTCTGATGCACTGTCTCTGCTTGCAGTTGAGAGTTTAGGCACATTAACTTGTTATTCACTGCCCTGCACAAAGGTGGGCCCACTCTTTGCAAAATGAGCAGGTGGGCTCCAGGCAGGCCTGAAGGGTGCCTTGCCTAAGCCTCAGGCTCCACTCAGAATATCCACAGGCCTCCCAGGGTAGTTCTCAGCTCTACTTCAGGGAGCCAGAACAACCGCCCTGGATGAGTTCTCTACCCTCCTGGGTTTCAGATCTGGGTGGCAGGGATATGGCTCTCCACCTAGGACCAGAGGGAGCAGGAGGATAACCACTTCTATTGTCCTCCAAGAGAAAGAGTGCCCCCCCCCCCGCCCCCCAGACTGATTCACCCAGTCCCGAGGCATTCTGGGCAAGGGTCAGACCATGTTTTCCCACTGAGGACACCATACCAGAGGTGAGCATTCTCCCCAAGGTCACACAATCAACCCGGGGTAAAGCAGGGCCTGTCTCCACCAGAGGCTTTGGCATCTTCTCTGGAGATTCTATCTTCAGCCTATCTGGGAAGCCCACAGCCTTTGGGCCAGAGAGGGAAGGAAAGGAGTCGGGCCCCTCCACTCCCGAGTTCCCAGCTGATAGCTACAGTTGACACGGACCCGCGAACATACAGCAGAGAAGTTCTGGGCAGATGAACACGGCAGGAGGGGAGAGGGACATCTCTTCCCCGGCCCAGGTCGGGCCCTACCTGGGAAGCTGCCCACTGGATCTGGACCCGGAGCTTCCGCCTCTACCTGTGTGCAAGGGATCAACAGGTAAGAGTCCTCGGCCGCACTCCCACTCCCGGCTTCCGCCTTCCCGGGGACTGGGTAAGATCTCAGCTCCACCCCTTCATCTGCAAGGTGCGACCTCGGCAGTCTCCCCTCCGTCCAAGTTCCGCCCCGACCCGGAAGGAAAGACCCCGCCCCGACCGGTCTCCCCCGCCGGAGGCGGCCCTCTCCTCTGGCCCTCCGGCTCCACCAGGACCCCGCCCCGCCCCGAGAGCGGCTACGGGTGGAGCGTCCCTGGGGCCGGCCACCTGCTCCGCCGCCAGCCGGGTTTGAGGTGGACTTTGGAAAACAGCAGACCGCGGTCCTCCTGAATTTGCCTCCAGCTCGCGCAAATTCTTCCCCCAGTCTGAGCTCGTTTCCCGCGAGTCACTTGACATGACATTTGAGATGACACGAAATGACTTGTGAGGTGCTTGGCGCTCAAATTCCCCATTCAGGAGCAGCTTTCCCTGACTCTGTCACCCTGGTCTAGACAAGGTCCTACTGTCGTATGCTCACAGCCCGTGGTTGTAATTCCTTATTTGTTTGAATGCTTATTTGATTAACATCAGTCTCTTAAAATGTTTATTTATTGATTGGTTGGTTGATTGGCTGATTGGTTTTTGTAGTGCTGAGGATGGAACCCAGGGCCTGGCCCAGGCTAGCCAGCGCTCTACCGCTGAGTTATAGCCCCAGCCCTGAATGCCTTCCTCTTTATTAGGGTTTGAACTCCGTCGGAGCAGATCACGTTCATCCTTAAACTCCAGCGCTCAGCACAGTGTCTGATACGCAAGGGCGCTCAATAAATGCCTTGCTCCTTCGTTCCTCTCGCCCAACTCACTGTGCAGCGGCAGTGTGGGCTCAATACAGCCTCTGGCCAGCAGAGGGCAGATGATGACCCGCCCTCTCACGCAGCCTTGCTCTTTTCACTGGTATGCGCCACGGGAGGCAGACACAGGTGTGCCCAGGTGAGGGGAGGGCTGGGTTTCCGACAGGTCGGTCGCCTCTTGTACCACTGGCGAGGGCTGGACCCCAGAACGGCTTTTCCCTTTGGATCTGTGATTCGCCATCTTCTCTCGATCAAAGACCTCTCTGACAACCTCTGAGGATGCACGCTTCTGTGGGATATGCCGAGACAGATCAAAGGTGAAGGAGTTCGCAGAACAAGCCCAATGAGAGGAGAGGGCCGGCGATGGAGAAAAGCCAGGTATAAAAAATACCGCAGGAGCCAATTCCAGCATTCTGGGAGGCTGAGGCAGGAGGATCGAAAGTTTGAGCCTAGGGCCGGGGATTTAGCTCAGTGGTTCTGCTGCCTGCCTCACAAGCCAAGGACCCAAGTTCGATCCCCGGTACCAAAAAAAAAAAAAAGACAGAAAATTTGAGCCTAGCCTGTGCCATTTAGTGATTTAGCAAGATCCTGTCTCACAATTAAAAAGGGCCAGGGGATGTGGCTTAGTGTGAAGTCCCAGGTTCAATCCCCATTCTGGAGGGAGGGAGGGAGAGAGAGAGAGAGAGAGAGAGAGAGAGAGAGAGAGAGAGAGAGAGGGAGAGTGGGAGGGAGCCCAGAAGGACCTGGAGAGGGATGGGGGAGGGTGAGATGCTGCCATCATTTTTCTGTGACTCAAAGTGACAGAGCTTGTTTGGCCTCAGTTGTTCTCACGTTCGTCTGAGTCTCTTCTCTTTCTTCCTTTTTTGAGACAGAGTCTCACTGCACGGTTCAGACCGGCCTTGAACTCACTGTGTAGCCCAGGCTGGCCTCAAGTGAACCTGTGGCTCGCCTCCTTGTCTCAGCCTTCCAAGTGTTGGAGTTACAGGTGTGCACCACCACGCCCAACTGGTACCAGTCTTGAACCTAGTGTCAGGTTGCTACCACAGAATAGCACTGCCAGGAAGCACAGATGGTTTGAGGGGCGGTGCCGTGCCAGAAACATGTCCCTGGCAGCATAACCACTACATGTGACAGTAAAACTCTGGAAACATCAAGGATTTCCTGAAGGAACCTGAGAGGGAAGGAAGGATGTGGTCACAGGTTGGAGGTACAGATGCCAGAGCTGATCTACCTTTTTGAGCCTCAATTTCACCTGCAAAATGGTGATAAAATTTACCTTGCTGGATTTTGCTGTGAAAATTTACAGCATAAACCAAATCAATAGTTCTCTCTTGGCTGTACACACTGATGATCAGGGTACTGGGATTTAAACTCTCCAGGTGGTTATAATGTGCAGCCAAGGCTGAAAACCATGGAGCTAAATAAAATGCTGAACACAGTACAGGGCACAGTAGGTATGCAGTAATGCTCATCACACTTTTTAGTTCGCTTGAAAAAAAAAACGGATCTTTTTTTTTTTTTTGGTACTGGAGATCGAACTTAGGTCTTTGCTAGAGGCAGGATCTTTATTGCTCAGGCTGAACTCAAACTCCTGAGTTTAATTACATGATCTCCTGCTTCAGCTTCCTGAGTAGCTGAGATGAGGGGTGTGTTCCACCATGCCTGGCTTTAGCTCACAATTTTAAAGATGGAGCACAAATTTTTTTCATTGTTCTTTGTTAGGGGGGAAAAACTTGATATAAAAGTTGTTGCAGAAATTGGATTTCCAACTGGCTTTTTTCCAGAACTGTGAATAATTGGCGGGGGAGGAAGGGGTGGGGTAGGCAGAGGCAATCCCTGGTAGTATGACTTGTCCTAACACCCAGATGCCTATATCTGGAGTGAAGGGCAGAGGCCAGCTTTTCCTCTCCTTGGGTACATACCTTAGATGGGCCTAGACCACTGGCAGCTGTTGGTTTCTCATTAATCAGAGTGGAGGTGGTACTTCCTTCTTTATGGAACTTGATAGCCTATGTGCTTTATTAACTCACTGATCTGTGATCACTGATGTACCCTGTCCTCTGCTTTCTTGCTGGCTGACTTGGCAGCGGTGAGTAGTCCCTCTCACCCAGGATTGCAGCTGTGGTTGTGTGTCATGGGAAGCGAAACTGGCTGCTGCAAGCATTTCTTTGACCACTGCTGGTGGACTTGGTCAATGTGGGAAGGAGCATGATGGACACTGGGGTTGTCTCCCTGTAGCATGCATCCTTGGGGGATGGGAGGCAAGCAACTGGTGTGAGAGTAGAGTTGCCAGATTTTACAAATAGATCTGTCACCTCTTGTGCTGCCGGCAAGGTCGAGACCATGGGTTTTTCAAGAATTCAAAGACAATGCAAATGAAGAACTTAGCATGATGTCTGCACATAAAAGAAAAAGACACCAATTAAATTTGAATTTCAGATACACAATGTGTGTTTTTTAGTATAAGTATGGCCAGTGCAATCTTCAGGACACACTACAAAAATGATTCATTGTTCATCTGAAATTCAAATTTAATTGGGTATCTGTTATTTTTATTTGCTAAATCTGGCAAACCTATGTCTGTCCAAACAGGCAAATCTCCAGGACATGGCACTTGCTGCCCATAATAGCCCCCTGCCCGACTTCACCTGTCACTGCGGGGCTCCAGAACCCTTCATGGTTCCCAGCTGCTTCCACAGTGCAATTAGGACTCCCTGGCTACTGTGCTGGGTCTTAGCTCTTCTACCACCCCAGCTGACCACTGTGGACCCTTCTCCACCTCTCCTGTCCTTGTTTACCATACCTGGAATGTCTCCTGCCCAGTACCAGGAGCAAGTGCTAATGCTGAGTACCTACTCATTACAGACACCATGCTGAGTTCATTTTCATTGTGGCTTTAAATTCTCCAAAAACCCAGAAGACAGGGAACAGCAGTTATTCTCATTTTACCGATGAAGAGACTGCTGCTCTAAAACAGTGACTTTTCTTTTTTTTTCTTTTTTTTTTTCAGTGCTGGGGATGGAACCCACGGTGTCACACATGCTAGGTAAGTACTATACTAAGCAACATCCCCAACCCTGACATTGATTCTTAAAATGTGGTCCCTAGACTAGCAGCATTAGCAGTACCTGCGAACTTGTTAGAACTGAACATTCTCAGGCCCCAGCCCCAACTTAACAAGTCAGAAACTCTGGGGTAGGGTGGGGTAGCAGTCTGAATTTTGATAAGTTCCTTCCCTCTCTCCCCTCAGGTGATTCTGATGCTTTAGTTTGAGATCTGTTGCTCTAAGAGACCAAGCAACCTCGGGAGTCTCCCATTCCTTGCTGCAGAGGAAGAGAGATGGCAGAAGCTGCTGGGTAGGTTATGATCTTATTGACACCATGCTTGGGGTCACACTGGACATGCCCCAGGGACCCCACAGTCTCTCTGTGTGTGTGTGGTACTGAGGATTGAACCCAGGGCCTTCCCACTGAGCTACATCCCTAGTCACTTAAAAAACATTAAAAAAAAAAATCTGTCTCACTAAATTGCAGATGCTGGGCTCGAATTAGTGATCCTCCTGCATCAGCCTCAAAGAGTGGTGGGATTCCAGGTGTGCACTGCCACACCTGGCTCACAGTCTTGGAGGCTCAGAGGGAAAGAGCAGACACCAATGAGGCAGCTTCGTTGTAAGATGATGAAAGCTGAGATAGAAAAAGCCCAGGAGCCTATCAGCGAGGTAAGAGAGGACACAGAAAGCTTTCCCAAGTAGATAGGTCAACAAAATCAGCTGGAATTCGATGGGAATGGGTGGGATAGTGTTCCAGGTGTGGGAACTTGTTTGGACCACGGCCGTGAGAAGTCACCTGGAAGAGGTTCACTGTTGGAGGTGGAGCAATATGAGAGTGTTTTGTGGAGTTCCCTGCTCTCAGAGCAAACGAGGTCTTAGGTACTGAGAAAGAGCCCTCTGGCTTCCAGCAGAATAAGCACTGGAGAGGATGGATGGTGGTGGGGAAGAGAGACCCAGGGGCTCCAGACCTTCTCTCTCTTAGATCGAGAGAGCGTCTACTCTCCCAGGTGTTTGCACAGAATCAACCACCAATTGCAGCCGTGGGCAGGTGTACCAGCACTTCCGCAATGAGGGGAGAGGCGGGACGGGGAAAGAAGCTCTGCCCCGCCCCCTGCTTCCAGTCGTCCCACCACCCCGCTCGGTCCTCAGGTCCCCTTCCGTTTCTGGCCCTGGATGTGATTACGGATCACCTACTTCGAGCACAGGCGACTTCCGTTGCCAAAGAAGCCTTTGCTGCC